GGTAGTTTATATAGTACACTTGTCTGGGTCCGGATGCGTCAATACCAACGTGATGACCGTGTTCACTCAAGAAAAGGAGACATTATTGTAGTCACCAACAGCAACATTACAAATAAATCTGCCTCATATATCGTAGTGTTAGTCAACCAAGCTTCAGTATCAGGATGCGGACTTTCTTCTTTACATGTGATCCATAAACTAAACAAGAATCCATACAAACTTTTTATTGGTGTTTTTTTTCATTTTGTATAACCAAACCTTTATCTTAGGTTCTAACTGCCACTCTATAGAAACTTTTTTTGTTTTTTTTGTTACAATACCATGCTCCATTCCTACCTAAAATGAACGCCGTTATTCTCTGGATCTCGTTATCTTTTAAAGACGTTGAACAGCAAGTATATGATTTTATTGGGGCTTTTTCTTAAAATAAAACTTCCAAGTGTAGATGTTATATTTCTGTTTCCTAAACCTATGGTGTGTATCTGTCGCATCCGATACATTGAAGGTTTTGTTCCCAATATACGGATTTTCGTAACAACAGATGAGTGGTAAACTGATCACACAAGAATTCAAGAGAGGTAGGTCATGAGGATCACACAAGAATTCAAGAGAGGTAGGTCATGAGGATCACACAAGAATTCAAGAGAAGTAGGTCATGAAGATTATGGATAGTTTTATGGTTATGATCTCATTGGAAAATGTTCCATTTCCTCATACAATATGAAGGTATTTGTTTTCGATGTCTGTAAGAATGTCCGATTCATCTTGTTCAGATTTGAGAACGTGACATTACTTACTTGGATTGACCAATATTTATAAGGTGTGTTTCTGCAATGAAGCAGAAAGTGCTAACCCTTTGGTACCGCGCAGGTCTTCTTCTTGTACTTTCTAAAACGTTTTACCGTGTTCATGTTTCTTGGTGTTCTTTCCTCGTTTCATCGACTAAGAGTTTGGATAGTGATTTTGGTAGCTTGTCACTATTTTCCGCCACTGTTTCCCAGTTGTCTAGGTTTATACCTACCAACTCGTGGATAACTGACAGTATCAGAAGGATAGTACGCTACGAATACAAAGCTTATAGACATGAAAATGAAGGCTACAAAGACCGAAACGAACTCAACCTTCACACATGATCGAGGCACAACTTTCAACAGACGTGCGCGTAGCTTATGTATCAGCAATATCATCAACATTGACGGCAAGCGAAAGCGAACCTCCACGACATTTTGGTCTTGTCACAAGCAAACTGTAGGCGTGCCATCGTCCATGAACCTAGAACGTCTCATGAAATCTTGAACCCCCTGTGATACTTCAACCATTTCTTATCTCCGTGATAAACCCCAACCATACTTGCCAAACATTGAGATCACCGCAACAAACGTAGGCCTGAGTCATAAGAAGGTAGCTGGTCTTGATGCGGTTCCGCCTATACTCCATATTGAACTTGTCCCAGCTCTGGTGTCTATGTGAACTGTACAAGTGCGCATTGCGTTCTCGTGTTAATAAGGAGACATGTGTTATATAGTGAGCTATTGTCCATTGGCTGTCACATCCATCTGTTCTAAGATTGTCAATCTTATAATACACTGTTTGGTCATGAAGAACTTAAATCACTATGTCGTATTCTTTGATACTCATCATGGATTTCACTTGAAAACATCTTGTGAACCTTAGATGATTCAGACGAGTTTAGATTGAGAAAAGCAAATAGACCAAGTGAGTCTTGGCTTCAGTAAATCATTTCATACTAGTCGTTGTCATAGTGACAATCACCCACAGCAATATGCCCACGTAAGGAAAACGTACATCACCTGCCAAAGTGATATCAGGGATTCCGCAGAAAGCGATGTAAGGGTCATTGCTGTCCTTATACTCAATAGACGTTCTATGGACTGTTGATGCCTTCAGTGGGATGTAGAGAGCAGGACGCCAGATATATAACCATATGTCTACATCAACCGTCAGTGATAAATAAAAGGAAAAATACTTTATATCCCCTCTATGGAGTGTACATTTCAGCAAGTGTTTAATGTTCAATATCATATCAGACGTTTCATGGCGGGAGACCATTACAAATATTTCAGAAAAGGATTGGGGTTCAGCCGACTCCTCAAAGAAACTTACTAGATTTCCATCCAAAGGTCGAGGCCGATCACCTGTACATTCGCTGGTAAAACCAGTTCAATACCTACAACCTTAATTTCTAGTATTGTGAACATAGGTGGGCGCTTCTCAGTTACCTAAATATTAGATATAATGCAATCTACACTGATGACTACAGGAAGAGCACAGGGCAGAGGAAAACAATACAATACAAGATACATGGTCTCCTGTAAAAAAGACCATTACGAATTACCTGCACCACCCTGGGACCGTTTCATTAAGTATTAGATCGGCTAGCTAGAATTGTTTCAAGATATATAATACAGTGAACTAGGTAGTGAAATCTCTGTACGTCAACTGTTGAGATGAAGTTGTCTGAATGCAAGAATAGCAGTTGTGATGGTAATCAAGTTCCACAAAATATTCGCTTTCTTAGCCTTCAACTCCACCAGAAGCTCTTGTTAGGATTTTCAACGCTAGAAGGCTTTCAAAAGTCATGCAAATAAAGAGCACCTTTTAATACAGTCTTAGAATAAAATACAATAGCGCCAAACAATAAAGTAAACTGCATAATAGAGCTGTTTCGTCCTTCTAGGACTCGTTAGTGATGCTAAATCATACAGATGTTTCGTTCCATTAGGACTAGTTAGTGATACTAAATCATACAGCTGTTTCGTCCTTTTAGGACTCGTTAGTGATGCTAAATCATACAGCTGTTTCGTTTCATTAGGACTTGTTAGTGATAGTAAATCATACAGCTGTTTCGTCCTTCTAGGACTCGTTAGTGATGCTAAATCACACAGCTATTTCGTCCTTCTAGGAATCATTAGTGATGCTAAGGGCCTAATTTTTTTAAGCCTAGGAGGCGAATTACATCCCAAAACATTTCTTTTCTTTGTGATTTTGCCAGTAGATTCTCTTCTGATTTTCATACTACGAAAGATATCATAACCATTCACCCGATGGCGTTTTGCCTGCAAAAAGAAAACATTGTACATTACCAATATTGGAAGGAATGAAAGTATCCAAAAGAAAAAACCGATACGTTACTAGTAAAACCAATATAAGACAGATGTCGTTATTTTTTAAGAGAAATGAAAATGAAACTAATTTCATAAAACCATGCACCTTCAAGCTTTTATCTTTTGGTATGAGTCATCGTTTTTAGTTATTGTTATTTTTCATGGCACACCCCATTCAAATATTTTACTTGTAATGTATGTATAAATTGATACATAATTCATTGATTAATTCAAATAAGGCAAGAGTCATCAAAAAAGATAATTTTGAATAGATGTTTTCTAATATTAGATGTGCATGTTTGGATTTCCATAAAGAAAAATGCAAGGAATCGTGGTTGATTATTTATCGCCAATTCAAGGATAAGTTGATGGGTTATTTTGTAAAATCTTAGAGGATACAGATACAAAATATTTATTTAAAGTCGACCATGATAAACATGTAATTAAAATAAACTCAGAAGAGCTCATATTCGACATAAAACATGATGTAAAGCGTAAAGCAAACAGAAGCAATAGACAATATAGAAAAACAAAATAAAGCCATGGAAAACCAACAAGGTAAATATGCATTAAGACATGCAAATAAGGTGTTTTGCAACAAATTAAAACAAATTCTAGGGCACAAAGATATAACCTATTTATCGATAAAAACATGGTATACAAACTTCAATTGGGGACGGTTAGTTAAAAAATAAATACTTGTAATATTTTATAGTTAATGGGTTTTATCACAGTTTTCCCTCTTTGCACAAACATTCCATGTTACCGAACCCCAAAAACACTGGGTTTGAAGTCATTCGAGTCAATTGTTCACGTAATAAATCGCGACAAATAGTCGCTCCGAAATGCATAGCGGTCCAGGTCAGGACCGATGCCCAGACGACTTTCATTATTATATTTTTATCGTTATAAATTCCTTGTTACCTCTTGACTTGTATACACAATTCATTTAAAAATAATATTGATCGATCAAAAACTATAATAATAACGATAAAAGCCACAACATATGATAGACTACTGTTCCCACGCTAAGTCGAACCCAGAACTCTGCATTGGTAGCAGTACACAGTTTCTCATTAGATTACCCCATTATAAAGGTTTTAATTAAAAATGAAAAAAAATCCTTGCTAAAATTGGTCCTGTCATGTTAAAGTGGACAATGTGGGGTTTCATTTTTTTCAGGATAATATTTTAGCTTTGTGTTGGAGATTACTATTTGGGCAGTCTCGAATCTGTGTCTACGCACCAAAAACTAGCTTTACAGGAAGTGAAATTTTCATAGTGTTCACATGTGGTCATGTTATGAAGAATTTCCGAGTTGGAATTTGCTGAAATGTAAGTACTTTGTTACCACGACAGTGTTGTTGATTGTAAGATAGGTGTTTAGAATTAAATTTCTCCTAGAAAGTTGTAGTGTTGGGTTGGAATTAGCAGTATTTTTGCATTTTTAGCATTTTTTCAGTAGGTAACCATGACAATCAAATGTCAGAAATCAGAGGAATTTTTTTTTTTACACAAATTTCATCTCTCTACTGTTAATGTAATTGTTATATAGTTTATAAATATATATACATGTAATGATGTATTTTCCATAACCAATCTGCTATACCTGTATATCTCAAACATGACAAATAATTTCAGGAAAAATGCAAATTAACTGTTTACTGCTACCATTGAACAATTTGATATTTTTCAAAAGCTGGTAGGTTTTTTATTTGCGTATTTTAATAGAGTTTGGCTTTTATTGGAAATATCTTATTGTTTCGCATACATATCATTTTTAAATTAGACAGTCCTCTCCGAATAGGACACAAAGTAATATTTTGCAGCAACACGATATAATTTAGTTCGAAACTAACGCTACATTTACCAAAGATGGCGAGGACCACGCAAACTTCGTCGTGGTAAGTTTCTTAAAAATTTAGATTGTTTTAGATATACATATAAGAAATACATTTTCCCTTCAATTACTATGGCATTGTTTTGGATTTATTTATAGGAATGCACATATAAGAAGAAGTGTATTTCTATTGTTACGTCTATAAATATCGTGGCACTTGACCGGCTTTGTCGTAACAGATCAATCGGAACTCTTCTGTCAGGTTTTTGTGTCGTGGTAGCATTTGGTTGGCTGATTTGGTGAAAAATAATTTTTCGTAAAAGACGATATCTACAATAAAACCACATATATTTCGTTTGGAATAGAAGTTTGAAGTGTAATATTTACACATTCTTACATTCAAAAGCCAAGTCTAACTTTATTGTTCGGGATCGACTATTTACAGCTGATTTACCGGGCGGTCGGCCGATAGGGGCCAAACGGTCTCGACAAACCTGGTGGTGGCCTACAGAGATGATATTCATTCTATAAAATAAACATACATTACAGAATGTGTGTGTCCAAACGTTTATCACCAGGCCCGATTAAAAGTGTAAAGTGTTCATGTCATTTTACATATTGAGTAGCTTAATATTAATTATTCATTATTCTCGCTGGCGAATTAACAGTTATATAAGACTCTATATTTGGCCAGTTGACAAGCAATTTGAAGCAAATAAGTTATTTTTGCATTGTTTTTACGTCTCTGGTCACAGTATGATTAATATTAGTAACCATGCACTACTGCATTGTATGATGCATTGTTGACTTATTGTAAGAATGATTACATACACTGCCCTCATCTTTTTGACTGACAGGTGATGCAATATTAAAAAAAATTGATAAGCACGTCATGAGCTTTGAAATCTCAGGTTAGCATGCCTCATTATATTTATCTGTCATGGATTGAGTGGACACCTCCAGTGAAAATTTGATCCATAAACAAGGAATCTAGGGCTACAAACCAAAATTCTCAGGTTTCAGTAATGTGTCAGTAACTTTTTTTTTTATAAATCTTTGACTTAGATTAGTTTTACATAATCAGATACAAATGACAGGGTTTTTTTTAAAGATAATATCGGTTTTCTTTTTGACAATGGGTTATGATATTGGCTGAAAGAAATTGATATGCTAAGGGTTAACCCCCTGCTTATTTGATTTCCCACCATGATATACCACACCCCATCATTTTGTTTTCTCATAAACCAATATGACCTGTAATTGACTAATTTATTCACTTATCATATAAATGCTCACATGAAGCAAATGCCATAGTTAACATTCTACCTTACTGCTAGTAGCCTGAAGCACAGCAGATGAAACTTACTTTTGATAACATGTCAAATAACATTTGATTTTGTCTATGTTGCAATATACTGAAACATAGGTAAGATTAGGAAATAAACTGGATCACAACCTTCATCAGCCAATCCAAAGAAAGATAATAGTGGTAGAAACTGGTTCACAGATAAGATGTAAATGACAACAGAAAATTATTTGGGAGCATTAAAGTTATATTATCCCTTTTGCTGATGATTGTTTTTGGTGTGCATGGGGAAAATGATTTTGATGTGTGATTTACGTATATACATAGTTCATGAGCAATATAAGCATGCTGAGCTGACCCAAAGAAGTTCAAAATTATTTTTTCTTGGACCAGAATTTCAACTACAGTCTTTGGTTCATATAAGAGGTTTATTTCATCACTTGATGCCAAACCCAAAATATTTGATTTTAACTGTGTCATATTTTTGCCATTGAAGAGGAGGCACTAAAATTGAGTTTTTTCTTATTAAAGTTCACCTGTTCAAGATTTGCTATGTAAATTTATGGCATAATAGTAAAGATTAGGCACTGGTGAAAAAACTATTAAAACTTATACAACATTTTTTTGTGACTCTCAATCTTTACCCCATGAATTAAAGTGTGAATGTGACTGATCAAAAAAAATTTTTCAAACATTTTTAGACTATCATATATTAGTTCATATGGAGAGGTGAAGAAATAAATATATGTTGAATTTCCTTTCCCCTTCAGATCAATAGCGTTTATTACATGATAAATAATTGTTTTCAGGATGGCCACGACTTTACACTTATTTTGCTGTTGTTTGCTGATATCTGATATTTTTGCTGTCAGCCGAGACAATTTTAAGACATGTGATCAAAGTGGGTTTTGCAAGTAAGTAATTGATTTATCTTTTTACATCTTTCTTTTTTTTTATCTTAAGTAAGTATTTGTATACAAATAACTTATATGCTTAAATAAGGAAAAATATCACTTGATGGTTCTTATATCTACAAGTACAGGACTAATACTTGTAATAGTATGTTACATTGAAGGGCTTAATATATTCCAAAGATATATAAGAAAGTATTGAAACAAGAGGAGAAATATGTAAAGAAATTTAGGGCAAGGTTTCACTGACAGTGATTACTGGATTGCCATATTTTCACAGAAGGAAAAATTATAATGCTCTATTTATCAGTATGTGTTCAATCATTTTTCCTTCATAACTTTTTGACTGTAGTGAATTGAAACAATGCAACATGCAGTCAACATTTCAGACTGGCACAAACATGAATTAACTAGTTTGCTGATGTCATCCTAATTGGCATTTTATTACATGAATTTAAAAACAGTCATGCGCTTGGTAACATGCAGCAACAGGAATCAGATCAGAGATCAAGGATTCAGTTTGTGATAGCGCTTATGTGTAGGTGATCTGTTGTTCTAGACTTGAGTAAATAACATGTTTGATGAATGCTTGCCTATTACATGTGAAAATTTCTTTATATTTTCAGACGTCACAGGGCAGTTCCACCAGGAGAAAGTCCCTATGTTGTTCTCATGGACTCACTCAAAATACAATCAACAAATGTGCAAGTTCAAATATTAAATACTAAGAACAATGTAAGACTACTGCTAGAGCTTTATGGCTTACAAGAAAACACTGCAAGATTGAAAATAAATGAATTAAATCCTATTAAACCACGATTTGAGATTCCAATTGGTGACGTTTTGGTTGGTGAACCCAAGCAACAAGGGTAAGTACACATAAATATCAATCAGTAATTTCTATAGGATTTTTTCAAGGTAGTCAAGGACACAGTGTCACTGTTTCCAAAACTTTAATGAGTCTCCATTACTAATAGATGTGGTAGGTATTCTAAATTTGAGTGTATCTCATAGGAAAATCATATCTGAGCCCCAAAAAGCACAGCACCTTTACCTTGGATAATTTTCTACTTAAATATTTTATAATTTTATTTGAGCATTTTAAGTTATATACTAGTATTCATATCAGAGTGATCCTAATAAGACCATTGTTTGATGATAGATACTCCTATAGTGGTCCACATAACCTTACCTGTTCTTGTCTCTATACTTTCTTTACTGAGTGAGCATTATTTGGTAGCAGACCATTTTTACGTATGTACCATGTGATAGCCCTAAATGTTATTGAGTGTCAGTAGGCCATATAAGTTACAAACTCTTTACCTTGTATTCTATTCACCAATCTTCATTAATTATTTTAGTTTAAGAATTAATTCATGTTGCCTTTAACAATTCTAATGTTAGAAAGCTAAATACAAAAAACCTGTGTGCATACATGTACATGTGGTTGGTATTTTTTTCAGTGAAATAAAAAAAAAATAAAGGTTTCCTGACATTTTGAAATTTGCATTTGATTGAAAGTAACTACATGCAACATGTATGAAACATGAAGTTTGAAAATTACTAAGTGTGATACCCTCTGTACTACATAATGTAGATAATATGCCTTAAATACTGAATTAAAAGTTTTTTTTTCATAACAGGGTAAAAATTATCGACAAAAATGACCAGAGTGTGACATTTGGTCTTGAAAATAACAAGATAGTACTTACAGCAAAGCCATTCCGTGTGGACTTCTTCACAGAGGGAGACCATGTTGTAGGTGTCAATGCGCAAGGATTGCTCAAATTTGAACATCTCCGCACAAAGCCGTAAGTAGATGTTTGCAAATCAGTGGATGTCTTGGTGCTTCAAGTAAAGTAAATGTCCTGTTGTATTGTTTAGAAAACTATGAATTATGAAAATGTTTTAGCTTTGTGACATTTCTGGTAAAACTGATTAAAGATATGTCTGTCTATTTTTAAAAACAATGTCTTTCACAAAATTGAAAAATTTTTGGATGCCAATATCTGGCCAGGAAGTACCTGCAATAGAATGCTATTTGCATGATCACAAATTGCCTAAATCTATAGAGCCATAAAGATCAGATATCTTAAAATCTTCAAGTCACGATATCTGGGAAAATACAAGTCATAATGTTACAGTTTTATAGGAAGTCCTGAAGTTCAAATCTAACTACCAATTGCAATAGTTTTCTATGTTCGTGACCTACCAGTAAGGTAAGGTCAAACAACCTTAATAAGTTATTAATTTAAGACTTTGTAAATACTTTATTCAATATTGTTCTTTCTAATGTCAGAGATGAATTTGTGAAAACTAACAATATTTAATATGTGCTATAATAGCCAAGAGCTATTACATTTAAATGCCATTCTAAGCATATTATACAATTTTTCTCATGTCATTGACTCTAACATGCATATGATTTATTGTTTAAGATTAAAGTTGTCTATACTTTATATCTTCAAAATAACTTAGATCCCTAATCTGTTCCTTCTTATTAATAATAGGCACTAGGATTTCTGATTTGTTCAGTTACAGCCACAATGACCACTACATAAATAGTTCCTTTCTCATGGATAATGTTGAAAACCACATTTCACTAGGCATAAAGAGACAAATACTCTCATGCTATATATATGTGAAAAGAGTATCATACATTTTGGTAGTGATGGCCAATGTTTAAGTAAACAGGAAACAAATAATAGTATGTATGTATACCTTAATGAGAATATTTATCATTTCATAAATATGAAGATGGACAATTTAAGTCATGTGGACCTCATGAATTTTATTGTTTCAATCCATTAGAACCAAGTTTATTTTCTTCAAAGAAGGAAACTTGTTTTAAAATGTCACATTGCATTTAGTTTTAATTTTTTGGGACGTTTACTTTGTTGATTCTTTTTAATCCTTTGTTGCAATTTATACTATGTATCCTCTTTATCTTCTCCTACCATCAAACAGCCACAGTTAATGTGATGATGCCAAGTATTAACATAATCTGTCTCTTAACGTTTACAGGCCTGTTTCACTCCCCATGTACTGTATGTTGCTGTGTGTATGTGATGCTACACAATGGTCTAAAGTCTGTGAATGTGTATTGTCTATGTAGTGATGGTTAACTAAACTGTGTGGATACATCTCACTCTCTTTTCCATTTGCTTCTTGTTTGATGTGGTATCACTTACATTGCACGTTGGTATACTTAACCATTACAAAGGGCAACAAGGCCTTTTCTACTATTTTAGGGGATGGTTTCATAGAGTTGGTACTGGGATATATTCATGGTTTTCCGAACCTTTCAGAGAACCAAAACCTGCTGAGCCCGACACCCAAGAAAATCCTGATGGAGAAGAAAACAAGGTATGGCTATTTTCATGCTCATTCATTTCTTATTTTTTAAGTAATCTGACTCATGCTTATATGCTGATAGTAACTTTCAATAAGCTTTTGGACCAGTGAGTCCTGGACTTTCTTTTGTTAGGTCACATGTGGTCAGAATCCCAAGTAGATTTATAGGTCTCATTTTAAGACAGAAGAAGCGTAGGAAAACATAATTTGGATGCTTTCCATGTTGGTCAGGGTCTGATTTCTTTTTTCAAATAATCTATAATAGAGAAGAGTCACTGATGATTTATACTTTCTTAAACACAACACAAGATTCCATCCAATCACAGGGAAGATTACACTAAGTTCTATAACCATTTCACTTTTCAGATTTGTTGTGTGTTCTGTTTTTCTCTTTCATTAAAACAAAGCAGATTTTAATTAAAGTTATCAGATTATTAAATGTCTTTTTATTGGGACTTGATTTCATGTCAATTAAAACATTAAAAATTACATGATTCAACATTGTATGTGGTCAGGTACCGAGACTGTATAATATTTAGAGAAAAAATGAAACAAGCAACACTGAAATAAACACATTTATTTCTCAGCATTCCAAGTCATTGATTTCAACAACAGTTGTAAATGTGATTACTATGATATCACTGTCTCATTGAAATTGAGTTGGGTGCAGATAGTTTACTGACCACCATGTAGATTGTTGTCAGTCTTAATGGCCTATTTGCATGATTTCATATCAGTTTACCTGCACATCTTGCAGTCTGGCCCAACAGTTCACAATCTGTCATGTTTAATCCAGGCATGTTAGATTTCTAGAGAGTTGCAGGGAAAGAGAGAAGATTTATTTTTGAGGGGAGTAGTTGAATTGGTCATTAGATACATGTAGATACATATGTGTTGTAGTGATATATTCTTTCTGTAGAGAGTACACTTGTATTGTCAATACATATACATTGTCAGCATATCGAGGTTAAACATGCACTCCATTGCTACCTCCCAGTCAAACACTATGTACTGTTTAATTATTTAGATTTATCTGGTACAATATCAAGTCCACGTCAAATCTCTACTTGACAATTCCTCTCAATTTTTGTCACATAATAATGGTCACATGACTTCAGTTGGACTATATCAATAAGTATAAAGTATGAAATAACAACAAATGCTTTTGTTTCCAATGTCAAGGATGGAGATAATGCAGAAGAAGAAAAGAAGGAGGAAGAAGTTGCAGCTGAATCACAAGATCAGCCACCTGAAGAACCTGATCTGTGGGAGGAATCTTTTAAGGGATTTGCTGACAGCAAACCCCATGGTATAACACTTGTTATTTACACTTGAAAATTATTGACTGTAGTTACAACAGAATGAGATGTTATTCCAACCAACCAACACCCCCAGCCCCCCCACCTCCAAGGGAAAAAATGTACAAATTGAATCTTGTTTACCATCAATATTTCTAACCTTTAACACGATATGTACTGATCTGAATACTTGGATGTGATTAGGTATACACTCCAATTTACTTAATATCTGTTTGATGTAACAAGGGTTTTTTTTCTCTCATTGGTATTTTGTTTGATATCTTGAAAATGTATATGAAGATGAGATATTTATCTTCACCATAGATATGATTATGACTATATATGACATATATGTTAACATATTGCTTGTTTGAATAGGTCCAGCATCAGTGGGAATGGACATTGGATTTCCAGGCTTTGAACATGTGTATGGTATACCAGAGCATGCAGAATCACTTGCATTGAAATCAACAAAGTAAGTGTTTTGTATACCAAGAACTTCACAGATAATTTTTACTTTGTCCATTCTGTATAACATAGTTTAGTTCTTTGTTAAATGTAATTCAGTTAAAACACACTAATAATTATCATGTTTAGAACTAAACTTTGCAAATGATATTGATTGTGAGACATTTAAAGGTCAAAGTTTTCAGTTGTCATTTATAGTCACATTAAAGCTATAGGATCTTTGTATGGTGATTGGAAGATGGTTTCTTTGTAAATATGACAATTTCAAGGATAAAGAAAATTTTTCCTTCATCTTTCTGTGTTTCTGAAGGTCATTGTTAAGTGGTCAAGATTAAGATCACAACTTATATGATTATAGAAAAGTTTCCAGCAAATTTCCCTAAACTTGCATAATAATTTCAGAAGTCTTTCAATACAACTTGGAGGTCAAGACTAAGTGCTAATCTGACAACATTTGACTTTTCCACAAATTTTTGTGTATCAATAAAATTTGATGGCATTTCTTATTACTTATGATATTTCTAAAATCTAAGTTTAAGCTCTGACCTTCTGAAGCTTTATCTAATTAAGAAAATTTTGCATCAAACTTGAAATGCCATGCTTTTTTGAACATCATATTCCACACTGTTCATACCAATACATTCAAGCTCAATTTCTATTACTGTCACATAAGGTTCAGTAAATATGTGGACCATTTTGTTGAACATAAAAAATATTTTGCAGTGTTTCCAGTAGCGTTATTTCTTCTACTTTTCTTTTCTAGTACCTGAATTACCATTCTATTTCTTTCCATCAACAGAGACACAGAACCCTACCGCCTCTTTAACTTGGATGTGTTTGAGTATGAGTTATACAACCCAATGGCCTTGTATGGTTCTGTTCCGTTTATGATTGCACACAAGTAAGTACAGTTAGATTTTAGGACAGTATCTAAGACATCTGTGGAACCACTTTAAAACTCAAGGTTTCGTTTAGAGGTATTATCCATGACTGATGAAATGCATGAAAGTAATATATAAAGACTCAACCATGCCCTGTTTCAAAAGGGTTTACTGAAGTAACAGACATTAAAGGTCAGAATGGAGAATAAAGGTCATGATCATGATGAATTTATATCTTGAATATCATGGTATCGAGGTATTTATGTATAATTTAGGGTTGTGGTTAGTTCAGTTTTGAGCTTTAAAATGCATCAATATTGTCAGAAAATGTTACTGAGAATGGTTTATATTTGTATAGTGAGAAGAGAACAGTTGGGATATACTGGAACAATGCTGCGGAGACTTGGATTGACATCCGCTCTAATGTAGCAGACAAGGTAACATTATTACAGCAATAGAGTTATGTTTATAGTTGTCTTTGTTACTACTAGCGCATTGCTTTGATAAATTTTTACACTCTTAAATACTCTCTTTGTTTAGTAAGATCTGTATAGAGTTTTTATTAAGGCTTCTTTGATTGTTATTGTGTCGTCTTTACAAATCAGAAACTTGGGAAGCATATTATATATTTATATTTGATTATTTAGCCAGGATCTTTACTGTGTTAAAATGTTCTTTTATTTCAGACGTTTTTGTCTAAGGTAGCTGATCTCGTGAAGGGAAGTTCTGACATTCCTCAGACTGATACTCACTGGTTCTCTGAGAGTGGAATTATCGATCTGTTCATCATGATGGGGCCCTCACCTAAACAGGTCTTCAAACAGTACGCCACACTCACAGGAACCACTCCTCTGCCTCCAGTAAGCTTAAAATTTTTCCTTTAGACCTCTTAATGAGATATATATCAGCTCTGTCCATTTCAAAGCTTACCACACCTAATATTTTTTCAAAGATTTATAAGATTTGCTTAATATTATTGGAGGTTTAATGTATGTGTTTAACAATTTCGATTCTATTTGATTTTGCTTGGAAGATTTTAGTATGGATTAAGTTTGGTTGTAAAGCTAATCACTCATGAAATAAATCCTTGTGCTGTCACATAGCTCAGGATTTTAGTTTGTGTAATCAAAATATCATAAACATGTGTTAAATCAACATGGCTGCTATTTAACAGTTAGTAAGAAGTACTAAAGTGTTGGAAGATGCATTCTAAAGGAACCTCTCTAATTTTCTTATCCTTTTGTATATTTCAAACACAGGTCACATAGTTTACATTTATACATTTGCAATTTGTGCTGCATAACAAATTATTGTGTAGTTTTCAGAATATTTCTTTGAAAAATTGCTGGAATGGAAGATTATTGAAATAGTTACCATGCATGCTAATTGAGGTTTATTTATGATATTAATCGTTTAACAAAGTTTGAAAAGAAACAAGATAAAAGTTCTTAATTCACTCCCATCCAATGGCCTAGGACATCATTGTCCTCTACTCTATTTAATGCATTGTCAGTAATCCTGTATACATTGTTGACTAACATGATCTGTTGACAGTTGTTTGCCATTGCCTACCATCAGTGCAGATGGAACTACAATGACCAGGATGATGTTAAAAAGTAAGAAATCATCCATTTTAATTATTATGAATTATTACACTTTTGAAGAATTAATTAATGTGCAATCTCAGTATCTCATTATCTTGTCCATGTTTTAAAAAGTATTAGAATATTGCAGTTAAAAAGTTCAAGGTTTTATAATAGGTAACCAAGTATGTGTGAATCAATGTAAATAAAGATAACCTAATTTTGTGTTTTATTGGCCATGCTCTTCAAAGTAAACACATACACTGTATTACAAAATGGTTATGTTCCCTATAATATCTGAATGAATACCAAAGCCTCAATATTTTCTTGTTAATAATTTTTCAGCGTTGATGCTAACATGGACAAGTTTCAGTTTCCTTATGATGTTATATGGCTGGATATTGAACACACTGATGGTAAAAGGTAAGACTTGTCAGATAGAAACTGCTTTTCACAGTTTGTAGAAAACCTGATGGTAATGATGCCTACAGATAATACTTCTGTCCTATCTAGCTTTTCTATCCCGCAATGTTTCCAGGTTTGTGTGTGATTCTAAGCACTCCATGATGTGTGAGAATTGCAAGATTCTTGGATGGCTGACTACTAATCAGTCATGGATTTTGTCTTGCAATGAGAAAAAATACTATAAAATCATATATTTTTCTCAAATTTTGTGGTTTTTCAAAAATATACATTTAGTTGACATATGATTTTGTGCTCACAAAATTCATTAGCATTCAATCCTTGTTTATGTTTATCTGTTTATCATTTTGAGTACATATAAATATGTGGATTTAGAGTATTTACGAATAAAACAGAAATAATTCCTCCACAAAAATACATGAATTTACAGTACTATTAATAATTATCAAATCAATTTATAATGTTAAGGGATTTTATGAGAATTGTGACAAGCCAGAATCAATCAAGTCAGCAAATTTGTTTCTTCAGATATTTCACTTGGGATAAGGACAAGTTCTCCCACCCTGAGGACATGATCAACAATGTAGCTGCCCGTGGCAGGAAAATGGTCACCATTGTAGACCCACATCTAAAGAAGGACGATAACTTTGGTGTGTATGCAGATTGTAAAAACCATGAACTCTCAGTGAAGAACAAGGATGGAGGAGAGTATGATGGCTGGTGCTGGCCAGGTAAGGAATCACAAAAAGTATCTATATATGTACAATAATTCTCCTATATGGTTTGATTTTAAATTGAATTGATCAATGTTTACTTGTCTTTTGGTACTTTTTAAGGTTCAGTGATTTATTTTTCTCAAAACTGATAAATCTGAGCTCATACTGTCCATGTCATAAGTCAAAATAAATGTGGATATCTGATGGTTTGCTGAAATTTTCAATGATTGTGTTGCAGGTTCATCCATCTGGCCAGATTTTCTAAATCCAGAGATTAGAAAATGGTGGGCAAGTAAGTTTGCATATGATCAATACAAAGGAAGTACTCCAGATCTCTATATCTGGAATGACATGAACGAACCCTCAGTCTTCAATGGACCAGAAATCACCTTCCACAAAGATGTGAAGCATTTCGGAGGCTGGGAAAACAGAGATATCCACAATCTCTATGGGATGTATGTGGTAAGTTATCTCACTTTGTTAATGTAATGGTGATGTTGTCAATTCATTGATACATTCCTGTTATAGAAGTGTGTTTAGGCATGATTTCTTTAACTTAAGTATCCATAGATAGTCATTGAAAGAAAAATATCATAGGTGTGCTATATATCTGATGCCATTATGATCTGATATCAGGTCTCTGTAATGGTGTTAAGTATTGAACCATGACGTAAATGAATAGAAAAATTAAAGATTCTTATTTTTGTTTTATGAATTAGCACCATGCTACAGGAGAAGGTATCAAGCTAAGGTCCAACAATGAGCAGCGACCTTTTGTATTGTCTAGAGCTTTCTTCGCTGGATCACAGAGATCAGGTCTGTATAGATGTGCGATGATGTGGAGACAAAACATATGGTGTTGTCTCAGTATGTCTCAAAATGAATAAAAGTGGGGAAAAGTACCATATGTTAATATGAATATTTGATTATTTTTGATTTGCTCAGTCTGCAATAATGATAGGTTTATACTTCATCAGCTTTAACTATGGAACAATCTTCCGGAGTATATTGTATCGGCACCAACAGTTAACTCTTTCAAAAATAGATTAGATGAACACTGGGCAAATCAAGAACTGGTACATAATTATAAAGCAGAAATTCTGTAGTTCCTGGATCTGACGTCTCAAATGACAATGATTATAAACGTTATCATTGTATCACTGAGACCGGTATAGAGGATCGTAACGATCCTGCACTGGTAATAAACTAAACTAAACTAAACTAACTAGAGGACCAAACAAAAATGGTAGGACATTATCTTTAAACACAAATTGTTTATATTTTAGGAGCCATATGGACAGGAGATAACATGGGTGAGTGGTCTCACCTCAAGGTCTCCAATCCCATGATTCTCTCCTTAAACTTGGTTGGCATCACATTCTCTGGAGCTGATGTTGGGGGATTCTTCAGGAACCCTGAACCAGAACTCATCGCCAGATGGTACCAGGTGAATTATAATAAGCAGTATTAATGTCTAGTTAAACGTGGCATACTTCACCAATAATTCAGACCCTCAAATGTGCTGTTTTCAAGTAATGAACTTTTTTTTTTACCAAATTTGCTTTAAGCGATCCTTAGGACCATGAATTAAGAAATAGATGTTATGTAAAGGCTTTTGTCAATATTTTTTTCTTTTTGCAATATTACTAATAATGAGAATATTTACCATGGTTGTTTAAACTAGATGACCAATACAGGTGCTCTTTGCTGATAAAAACGGGAGGGTGTGAGGGGGGATGATATTTTGTAATTCTGATCACATACATGATTCTGTTGGGAAAAAAAGTCAATATCTCACCATGTCTGCAAACCACTTGAATACCCTATCTCTCCTGAATTTGACAAAATTTTAGACTTTTCCATGTCTACAGTTTTGTACATTCAGGAAAATAAATAGCCATGCTACTGAAACAAGCTTCATGTGATTGTCATGATGTTTGCTCAAACAGTATGGGACACAATACTTACTTATTGATTTGTAGAAATGCTATGGGAAGGATATTTTGTAATTCTGATCACATACGGTTCTGTTGGGGAAAAAAGTCAATATCTCTGTAAACTGATGGAGACATTTTCTTGTTTTAATTATTGTCATCACCACAGTTGTCAACCCCCTCCATTCCTGTTTGATTTTAAGCTGTTACACTGTAGTACATGGGTGGTCCCATAGTCTGTTTTTAGACAATTCTTGTTAACTATGTTGCTTGAGAAGCACTTAATTGATCATTCTCAAATTTCAATTGTAGGTTCCCTTGATTGTTAGTTGTGCATATTCAATTTTGGACTGATCAGAAAACCTCAATTTCCTTTGTACAACAATTAATATTTATTGAGAAGAACTAGATGAATCATTTTTAATTTTCACATACATGATAGGAAAAATGAAATGGTCAATATGCAGCCATTATAGATTTTGATTGTCATACTTAATTGTCTTCATTTCTTGAGAATTACGTGATGCATCATTCTCAAATTTCTTTTGTTGGTTCATGTTAGTCCCAATCTTGATCATCTTGAACCTAGTTAGTTATGGTTTTATACTTATATTGAGGTTACCCTGTTGGATTGGATAGTTTACACCAAATCAAAAATATCATAACAATTTTATTGCCTTAAGTAATGAAAAATTTCATAGATATCATTGTTGGGTACACCATGTCTGCAAACCACTTGAATACCCTATCTTTCCTGAATTTGACAAAATTTTAGACTTTTCCATGTCTACAGTTTTGTACATTCAGGAAAATAAATAGCCATGCTACTGAAACAAGCTTTGTGTGATTGTCATGATGTTTGCTCAAACAGTATGGGACACAATACTTACTTATTGATTTGTAGAAATGCTATGGGAATGATATTTTGTAATTCTGATCACATACGGTTCTGTTGAGGGAAAAAAGTCAATATCTCTGTAAACTGATGGAAACATTTTCTTGTTTTAATTACTGTCATCACCACAGTTGCCAACCCCCTCCATTCCTGTTTGATTTTAAGCTGTTACACTGTAGTACATGGGTGGTCCCATAGTCTGTATTTAGACAATTCTTGTTAACTATGTTGCTTGAGAAGTACTTAATTGATCATTCTCAAATTTCAATTGTAGGTTCCCTTGATTGTTAGTTGTGCATATTCAATTTTGGACTGATCAGAAAACCTCAATTATCTTTGGACAACAATTAATATTTATTGAACTAGATGAATCATTTTTAATTTTCACATTATGGTTTTATGATTTTGATTTATATTTGGTGAGAATTACTTGATGCATCATTCTCAAATTTCTTTTGTTGGTTCATGTTAGTCCCAATCTTGATCATCTTGAACCTTGCCAGTTATGGTTTTATGCTTATATTGAGGTTACCCTGTTGGATTGGATAGTTTACACCAAATCAAAAATATCATAACAATTTTATTGCCTTAAGTAATGAAAAATTTCATAGATATCATTGTTGGGTACACCATGTCTGCAAACCACTTGAAAACCCTATCTCTCCTGAATTTGACAAAATTTTAGACTTTTCCATGTCTACAGTTTTGTACATTCAGGAAAATAAATAGCCATGCTACTGAAACAAGCTTTGTGTGATTGTCATGATGTTTGCTCAAACAGTATGGGACACAATACTTACTTATTGATTTGTAGAAATGCTATGGGCTTATTCAATAACTTTTTGTCCATGATCTGTTGGTTTGTCAGTTAGTTAGAAGGTGAAGGAATCTTCTGAAGCTTTATGAATTATTTGATTGTTGGTTTTATAAGATAAAAAATGTGATGTCATGAATGACTTTTAAGTGAAAAAAGATTTTTGATATATAAGACAATATTTGTGTGTAAAATGTATCTACAAAATGTATATTGGTGTCAACTGTCTTCTTATCAAAATATGTCAGTATTGATTGTGCTGTCAATGAAAGCTTATATAGTTGTATTTTCTCATCCTCTTTGAATTAACACTGTCCAGTAACACTTTGTGTCTCAACCTTCTTTCAGGCTGCAGCATTCCAACCATTTTTCCGTGCCCATGCTCACTTAGACACCAAGAGAAGAGAACCTTTCCTGTTAGATGAAAGGCTGATGAAAGTGTCTCGTGATGCCATACGTACCCGCTATACTTTCCTGCCTTTCTGGTATACCCTCTACTACTTTGGTGAACGTGATGGTGGACCAATAGTAATGCCTCTGTGGGTTGAATATCCAGAAGATAAATCTACATTCCAAATGGATGACCAATTTTTACTGGGTATGTATGGAATATCAGAATGGCGAATTCCTTTTAAGATAGCAGAACATCACAATGTAAATCAGCTGTTATTCTGTTACATACAGAAATAAGATATTTAGCTCAGTTACTGACACAGTTATGCCCCTTCCATCATTTCAAAAGTTAACACATACTGTATGTAAGTTAAAACTTTGCTAACTATAATTACGATGTTTGAACAACCTGAAACAATTAATTTTTATTTCAATTAATTGATTTAATGATGTGTTTACCAAAATTTGTCACGTGTGTTTCCCCCAGTTGTTTAAGCTGTATCATTAGACAACATCTTGGTAATGTCTTCTTTCTTCTTCAGTGTCAGTCATCAAAATAGCATAAGACATATCTTCCTTCATTTTCAATCAATCATGGTAGTTTTTGTCTTTTGTAGAATTATAGCCATGTCTTGTTCATTTTGATTTGCATAAACATTTTGTCCAAATTATTGGCTGTAGTCTATGAACCCTTTTAATTTACTTTTACAAAACGTTTAAAACATTTTGAATAATTGATTATACTTTGTTAGTGACTCTGTTGTGAGGAGAGAAAATAATTGATATGAGACCTACATGTCTAGTTCATTGCTTTTGTATCAAATTGATAATTATTACACACAATACTGATGATGAGTGTTTTCCCCCAGGAACAAGCCTTTTAGTGAAACCTATAACAGAGGCAGGAGGAAGTGGCACCAGCGTCTATTTCCCTGGACAAAATGAGGTAAAACGGGAGGAATTTATTATCATGTCTGAACTATATACACTGACTGACCATAAACAAATCATTCGGGACATTCTTTTTATGGACGAACACTTTCACTTTAATCATAGTTAAATACTGATAATTGATCTTTTCTTAGAATGAAGAAAAAAGTAAGTCAGTGAAATAAAAGTATACTTCAAAGTTTTTGTATTAAAAGGCATTCAGCAAGTTTTCAAAAAACGTGTGTAATTTTTAAGTTTAGTTTTGTAAGTGTCATGGCTTTACATTACAGATGAACTGATTTTTTGTGAATATATTGTGTTTTGTTTATTGGTAGATATGGTATGATATTCTTACTCAAGAGACTTACAATGGTGGGGCATCAGCTTACATCAATGCTGCATTGGAAAAGATTCCAGTATTCCAGCGAGGTGGATCTATCGTTCCTAGAAAAATGAGAAGTCGTCGATCCTCTGGACTCATGCACAATGATCCATTCACATTCGTTGTTTGCCTCAACAAAAATGTAAATAACTCTATATATGCATAGATACACAGTCACCTTTAAAAGGAGCTTTGATTAACATCTAAGTAAATTAATTTTTTGTCAAGTGAAAAATTCAAGGTAGGATTTTGTTTTTTATGATAGGACATTGATATTATTATTAAAGATATATTTTGAATTCGAAACAAAACACATAGTACTTTTGCTAGACAGTTAAAAGTAAAATCATAATTGTAATGTGCTATGTTTCTTTTCTTTTAGGGTGAAGCCAATGGAGATGTGTACGTTGATGAATATGATTCATTCAAGTACAGGAATGGTAAATTTATCCTCAAGAAACTCACATTTAAAGATAATGTTTTTGAAAGCAGGTAAGCCCTTTTTTTAATATTTAGTCATGTACTTAATAGTATGAAATAAAGCCTCACAGAAACAGTTGAAACTATCTTCATGACAAATGTGATAAAAGGGGACACTTTATGTAGAAAAACCAAACATTTTTGGGAGTAGTTCGTCCGTTTATACAGAAATTCAAATTGATTCTACAAACAACAGCTCGTCTATTTGGATGTAGAGTGAGAGATATGTTTGCAAAAAGTATAACCTAGTTAAAGGTCGTAGTTCAAAGGTTTTTTTGATTTGTGCATTCTGCTGGTTCTGTTACAGGTTAATTTTATTTGTTTTATATAAGTATCTTTGTGCATTGTACAAACTCATCCTAAGACAAGGTCTTTAATGTAGATATTAAAGAACCATCAACATATGGTTCTTTTTCCTCATCTCTAATTTTTAAAACTCCACACATATAATTCTAATTTTTCAGTACTGCCGATCCAAGTGGCACATTAAGTACCAAAGAATGGATAGAAAGAATTGTCATTGTTGGTTATCCAAAGCAACCAACAGCTGCCACTTTAAAATCAGGTATGTAATCTGAAGTTATTTTATTCGAAAGTTTCTTTATTTGTCAATAGTAATTTGGAAAAGTTTATTATGATAAGTTCATGTATGTAATGAAGGTCATTTGTTAGAGTAATAGAGTCCATCATATTAACTGATAGAACAGAAAGATCAGTGAGTAATTTTTGTCTTTTTTGTTCTCAGAATGTTATGGGAAATTTAGTTTAACCAATGTCTATCATAGTCCCAGTCCCAATCCCATCCTAAATCAATATTATCACTCTAATGACTTTGTTTCTTCAAGGATTTAAGTCAAACTTAACAAAAAATGGGGGGATTCCCCTGTCAAGAAAATGGCATGAATTAATTTATGTTATGCCAACAATTCAATCTTCACCTACTTGTACATAATATGGCCAGCAGGGTAAGAGAAAAATGGTCTTTTACCCCCTCGTTGGTGAGACAGGTGGATCTCAACCCTTGGGAAAAGATGACCAAGTTGCAAGCCTTTTGTTTGCTCACTTGGGGGGATTTCATCCCAAAATCATCTTTCCTCTTGGGATGAAATCACCCTATCTCGCTTCCAAAGGGATGAAAGGTTCTATTAGTCTGTCAGACATTTTCAACATGCAAGATATACAACTATTGGGATAAGGAATAATATTGTCAGTCATTGACATAAAGGATTTGATCTGTCATTATTAATGCTCTGAAAATTCTTGTTGTTGCAGGTAAAAATACCATCGTGTCATTGGATACAGTATATGATTCAAAAACAAAGACGGTGACAGTAAGAAAACCAGGAATCAATATAGCCGAAGATTTTATTATCAAGCTCAGTTAATTGTCAGGTGTTACTATTTTTGTACAACAGAAGTAGTCTCAAAGCTTATCTAAGCCAGCTGATCGTGTGATAATTCATTCCACTGATTATTATTATATACCTGTCATATTTTTCATTTTTCTATCATGTCTAAATCTAAATTCTAAATATAAAGATGTAGAAAATCCTTTGAGGAGTGTATACAAGTATTGCAGAATGATGGTAAAGGAGCTTCTTCACACATTAACCATGGATGATCTTATCTCTTATGTAAGCTTACAATGATGGTGTTCAGTAACGTTGAAAACCATAATCCTCAACATTTTATAAAACATATTAAAAGTGTGAATACTTCAATATTTAAATTCAACTGTCAATTTCAATTGTTTTTTCCTTCGTTTATCCAAGTCTAAGTAAAATTTGTATCAGTTAAACATGTTTTGTGTGACCAATGATAAACAGAATCTTAGACTAGGACCCATTACATCAGACTTACCGTAATCTTTTGTAACACAGGATCTCGCCTGAGATCCTCTATTTATTTTATATAGTGCTATTGTGTTTACACAGTGCTTTTCATCTGGTCTTAAAAATCATTTAAAATTTTGTACATTTACTGAATGTTAGTCATAATGTAATCTGTTTTGAAGTGATTCAAGTAGGATGTGTGTGGATCAAGCTGAATAACACTCATAGTCACATTTGAGTAGGCAAGTTACTTTAAATGCTATATAACATACTAGTTATTAGATTGATTTACTTGAAAGTAGTGTCATTATTATATTTTTCATTATTATTTATATTAAAAAAGTGCTAATTTCATATGTTCGAAGAACAGGAAAACAAAGCAATTCTCTTTGTGTCAGTACAGAGTTAAGTTTATTGTTGTTGGGATATTGGTTCTCGGTGGTGAAAGGGCAACTGTGTACTAGATTTTTGACATATCATTTTTCAAATCTGTTGAATGATGACAACGATGAAAGTCTTTTTGAAAATATATACCCATGAATCTCCTCGTAGAGCTACCTGATTTTGTAAGGCTCGGGAAGGAGAAATTAGACCATACTTTACATCCAGTCATTTTTTCCATTGCGGACCAATCAGAAATCTGATTTAATTAAAAATTGCAGTGAATTTTTTACAGCTTGTACGGGTATAAATGGTTGAAGGGAAATCCATTTGAAAACAAAAAAGGTTTAAATCATTTTTTTAGCATTACCATAGAAATGGTGTCGAGATACAATGGAAATCATAATTGGTATGCATCGTCCATTTTTACCCAGCCAAATAATACCATATAAAGAAAACCAATATTGTTTGAAATAAGACCCCTGTAAACCAGGAGGTATAGAAATATATATATATTTCACGTAATGGCTTATTCAGAAATATTTTATTCAGGATAAAGATGTACCTATTTGATGCACTGGTAATCAATGGTTTAGTTTTATCAGCATTTTGTATTAAAATGAAAAAATCAAGTGCATTTCGTGAGTGCATGTAAAAATCTACATGAAAATAACTAAGAGATTTTCTTTAATTATAAATCAGATGTTCGTTTTTATTGTGAATGGTGTCGTTGAAATACTAAGTACATTATACCATGTTTACAGTCATTGTGAAAACTTGTTGACTGTTATCTGTTTGGTGCATTGTAAAATATGTATTATTGTGTCAAAATACATTTACAGTGTTCATGTATTTTCCTACTTTTTTCTGATTAGAAATAACAGATTGGTGTTGTCTTGATCTGTAAGGAAAGTCTAGCATTGTTCCATGGCTACTAATACTTGATGAGGACAACTTGGTTAGATACTGAACACACTTAAGATTTTAGTATTAATAAGGTTTAAGTAAGAGTCTGATTATCTGTATCAATATTGGCCTCCAAGGTAAAACTGAAAATCGTTCACTCTTCGTTATATTTTTTCCATCAGTGATAATTTCATTATGATACTGTTTTGATTGCAAAACTGTGGTATCTTAGAGTGTTTAAACATGTTCTAAGTTGTTAGATTTAAATTGTTGTATCATTAATATTGCATTGAGTGAAAATGACTTCAGATGACCATTTGTGTCTGCATGGCTGTTGAAGTGAATTAGAATGAATGAATTGTCTGTGTTGGCCAGTTGTAATACATGTATATATATGTGTACTATACTGCATAAGAGTTCTAATATGTATATAATTTCATTCAGTAATCCGTATTGATCCTGTAAAACAGTGCTCTACACCAAATTCCTCTAATGCAATGTCTTTATTCACAGCTGTTCATTCCTTACAGTTGTAATCAGGATTGTATCTTTAAGAGAGAAATACACCATTATAAAAGAAGAAGAATATGAAAACATGCGATATTGGGCTCTCTAGTTACATTTTTATGACTAACTTAAGTTAGATCAACCATCCCTTGATAGGTAACTCCGATATATAAAATTGTTTACTGAAAAAAAAATTGAGTGAAATTTCAGTATTTAACAATATTGTTGACTTAATTGACACAATCAATAAATATTTTGCTGGCAATGTCAGATTATTCATTTTATTTTGATAAATACAAAATATTAACATGTTTAATAAATTCTATAGAAATGTAAAACAGTTATAGTGATTATATCTTCAGTTTGATACGTAGTAGTTGTTTCTTTATGTTGCACCTGTTTTATAACATAGTTGGTTGATAATGAGTGAAATCTTCACATACATGTGATGTATATTGTTACAGGGTACAAGCTGAGTGGTAGATTGTTTTGTGATCATTAGTTATCACTGTCTTTGCTTGAATGTACAAATAAAACCATAATTTCGTAATTACAAAGAATATTTCAGTTAAGTAATGTTGGCTCAGTTTTTACAATTAGATTTTACCACACTGAAGATGAAACAGCCTTTTTTATTGGTTTGTAGCCTGTTTGTTAACCTGCTGGTAACATAACAACTGTTCTGATTGGTTAATGACCATGTGACTGGAAAATTGAACATGCTCAACAATAAAACATGCACATATAATGCCTGTTCCAAAACATATCCCAGCCTAAGTTATATCTACATTGTACATATAATTATCTTTGTCAAGAGAGTGGCAATGTTCATCAGTCACTAATTCATAAAAATGTTCTACCAGAACTAAGTATGATTGTAGCTGGAAGCTACTAGATATTTCACTCTGAGAGGTTGGCAACTCTGCTGTGTGAACCTACTACCTTCAGCTTATGTGTTTGCATTAGCAGTAGATTATATGTCATGTATAATATAAAATTTACACCTTACCTGCTGTCACTTGACAAGCATTTCAAATATCTAGTCATGTTATATAGGCCAGACAAAAATCCATCCTTTTATGTTCAACATCCAAAAATAAAGAAATATATATATATATATATATATATAGTGGAACCAGATTCTCCATTATAAAGTCACATGGGTGAAATAATTCCTAAAATTATCTTCAGTAACAAGGAACTGAAAAATTAAATCAAGAATTGTTTAATGTGCATTTTGTTTATCTGCATTCAGGAAGCTGAAGCGAGAAAGGTTGATCTTGAATGGAACATTTGTATACTGTAAAACTGCAGATTCAGAGGTCTTTTTGCACTTGTCTTTTTTTTTTACCAGCATTTCAAATGTCCTTACAGAGGATATGAAAATGGAAATACAAATTATATAATACATAAAACTATGTTGTGCTTAATATTTAAGCTAGATTTATGGGTAATTAGTTAACATTGTCTCCTTTTGAATTATTTGTATTTTCACCTACAAGAAATGTTACCATTGAAATATTGAAAACATAAAATTGTATTCCAGAGACACCATATCATATCATTTGTGGATGTTTTGATACAAATTATGATAAAGTCTCAGTGATGATAATGGATCATTATATCGAATGTCATTGAAACACTAACTACATCAGGCCAAGAAGAAATGATCATATCCCATATAAAACCTTTCTAGAGGAAATGATTTAACTGGGTAGTACATCTTATGGTGCAATATTTATCATGGGAGACTTGAAATACTCGAGATATCAGTATTGTAATGGATAGCAAATTCTGTTGTCGATCATTTTGCAAAATTGTGTAGCTAGGTTTCTGCCTGTTTTTCATTCTTTTCACAAATATATGATCTCTTATACATATATCATAGCTAACAGAAATGTTGGAGGAAAATGAGGAGAGTTTCTATTAATTTGTGGGTGTACCTGTGGAAGAGCAGTCATAATTCACTTGTGTAGATGTTATCTGATAATAATTAACATGTAAATCAAATATGGCAATGTTACAATTACAAAATAAATAGAAAAACTACAGAAATGTGTTGGTTGTTAATGTATATTGGATTGCATATGATTACATGGACATGTAATTATAAATGTTGTCAGGGTAGCCATTGGTCTCGGTTGTATCACCGGAAGAGTTAACACAAGCAAATATATAGAGGGATCTGTCATTCAGTGTGCTATGTCTTGCCAGTGGTGCTTGTCTATAATCTAAAATTATCACATCATTATTGTAAATTTTACTTGCATCTCAAAAATTATAGGCTGTATAACTTGTGACATTTTTTGATGAATTCCTGCATAATCTTTAATTTGAATTGCTTTATTTTATGGCTCGTCTCTGCCTGGTTTTCAAACATGAAACTTTTATAGACTGTGACCTTGATGAATTTCTTCATTTTTCACAAAATAACATTTTGAACCTTGAGTGGTAAATTTTCCCTGCAAATTTCATGATATGCATATTTCTCAAATCTTGATAATTACATAATAGTTTTAATTTGTTGTGTAAAAATAGAAATTAGAGGCTAAAATTAAAGCCAATGTAATTTCAGTAATGGGACCCATCAGATAAGCTCAAATACATTCAGATTAAGTAACAAAAACTAAGGTACATCAGTAAATCACAATTTTAAGATTTTATTTTTCAAAATCATAAACATTGTATGTACAATTGACAAAACAAATTTCAATGTATTGCTTACAACCACGCTGATGTGGTTAAGTGTAAAATAGCATGATATAACATCACAATAAAGATGATTAAAGAGTCGAGAAACAAAGAATATTGTGTGCTACATACATAAACCTATCTAACAAAACAGATGTATAAGCTATGCCAGGAAGACTAAAAAAGTGAGATCAGGAGTTCATCTTATGTACATTTAATTAACAGTCCTTAAGGATTGTATCTTACAACACAAGGAAACCTTGTACAATTTTCCTGTTGCCCTTTGCACAATTAATTAAATTGTTCCCTCCCTCTCAAATTTCTTTTATCACATTATCATTTCAGCACTGTGATAATTTATCACTTAAAAATACAATTTTGTCGTACATCTGTATTACATTTATTGGGTTGAAAATCAGAAACCAATGAAGAATAAAAAAAAGCTTTAACAAATTAAAGCAAAAACAAATTATGAATTGAAAGGCAACCAAAAAAATATTTCAGAACCCCCATCCCAACAAATCATTAATCTGACATTCCAGGTCTTGTAAAAAATTGAATTACATGCTGAGTATGTGTTCTTGTTAAAATTATTATTGATTAATAAATATGAAAGCTACAGTGAGCTTCATGGAAATTCATGTAAACAAGATTATATGTATAAGCAAAAAGTCTGTATACTAGTTAAAAAGTTACAGTTTGATGTTGATCCTGACTTAATTTTCAGCACTTCCTCAGTTATAGATTACTGGATGTTGAATTAGGAGAATCTTGTGCTAGGATGTACTTCCAATATCACAAAATATATGTTGACACTTCAAACACAAATTTACCAAACTCAAAATGTACAGTCCATAACCAGATAGTGTGACAACAGACATATACACCCACACCCTACTCATCCCTATTACACAATGTCCATAACCAAGACAAAATAATGCTCCCAAACTAGCTTTTGCAAGGATGTTTATAGGATTGGATTTAGGTCACAAAATGTTTTTAAAAAGTTACCATGTTACTGATTAATAACCATCAACATGTTTGAACCATTCAGTTTCCATACAAGTAATAATTTTTCTTTTCTTTAAGTTACAATGTGGACTAAAATGCATAAGACCATCATCAACAGTCCCGTGTTCAAAAAACCTAGATTACATAACACCAACAAAACCCATAAATAGCCTATTAAAGAATTTTAAGAGTGCCAAAATGTGTTACTTTTACTCAAAAACATTTAGCATAACTATTAAATGAAACTTAATTATAATGTTTATATAAATATATATCTAAGAACCATTTCATTACAAAAAAAAATCAAAACTTAATCATCTGTTCAGGTTGATTCGTAAATATACAAAGTGTTTCGTTTTACATTTTACAAAACATGTAACATCTCAATCCAACCCTGGCATGTATAGGAGCCTGTACATGTACTACAGTACACCAGTCGACTAGCTTATTTCTACTTGCACACAAACTGTGCATGTGACAAAAAATATTATACGCCTTCAAAAGTTTTAGATTACCTCCCCTTCACCGAGAGGTAAAGTTCACCTTCATCATCAATAAAAACAAGTTTTATCTCCTAAGGCCAGATATCTAATGTTTGTTTACTCATTTAATGATTAAGTGGAATACCATAAGGTATCCTCTCTGACATCAAGAAAATGGAATATCAGATATTAATGAGGAATGACCAGACAATATTGCTTCAAAGGGCACTTTTCCCTTCATTTTAATTTCTATTTTTTTTCTCATCCACAATAGAAAATTTAATCTTTATTTATGCACATCTTATCAAGGGAAGAAATGATGTCTTTAACTTCAGCTTAAGATGAAAATTTAAGGTAAAATCTGTAGGTGAAAAATATGAGACAAACAAGATTGACAGACTAGAAAATGTAAGATAAAAATTCAAATACAAACATAATGATTATCTCTATGGCAGGTCAATTAATTGTTAGTTAAAACTGGGAATAATATCAGGTGGCCTTCTTCCAGCAGAAGAACCTTATATGCTACTCAAAACTTAGTTAATAGAACATTTTGATTTTTCCCTGAAATATGCTGTATGCATAAAAATACACTCAAATCAGAATATTTAGTAGGAAAACAATTTCTACACCTTGTAACAGACATTAACATTTACTGTGCTCCAAATTATACCTTTCTTACATTCTGACAACAGAATAATGCTACTGACATTACACCACCAAATGTTTTAAGATCAAAATGTTTGAAATGTGCATACTGTAATTAACTATGTAAGATGTTGACTATACCTTAACATAGGATATCAATGAAGCATATACACAAGCAAATATCTACGTCCTTACTGAAATCTCATAGACTGATGCACATGTGATATAAAAGGATGTTTTGGACGGACAATGTCAGAAGCCCAGATTTTCAAATCTTAACTTAACAGTTTTAAAGACAATTTTCATCAGATTTCCAATTCTCCCACCTCCAGCTATAACTATAAACTTATAAATAGACAGGTAGATGAAACAACAGAAAAAGTATCCACTATCATACATGTACATACATGTGTATCATCTAAACTATGACCATATCTGTGTACACACCTGTAAAGCAGGAAAATAATAAATAAATGGATTAATAAGATACATGAAGCTACTTAAATTTAGAAGAATTAGGCAGGGAATGCAAGGTTTAATGACTTAGGACTTCAGTAGTAAACACAGCAACTTATACTTTTGTATACATAAAATCAAAAAAGATATATATCAGCTAAAAGATTATATCATCAGTCAGGCTTAAAGAACATTGTTCTTTCATACATAGTGTTAAATATTACATTTAAATGGACAGGGGTAAATGTCTATTTTGGTGTTAGAATATATCTGACTCCCCTCATCTGAAATCAATGGCATTTAAAGAATATGTTTCAATACAACTTGCATCATTTGCTTGTTATAGGTTTAGAAGGAAAAAAACTTTCCTGTCATATACTAAAAATCCTCAGACTAGAGATCTATAAAAAAGTACTTCTTTAAAAAGAAAGCATCATCACACTTTACAATAAAATCCTATATCATTAGTATGACATTTTACCTTTAAGAGAGTTTGAGTTCTACAACATCAAAATTCAGCAATTCCAAACTAAAAACAAGTCTATTGTACTTAACAAAGAAATGAGAGAAAGCTGTTAAAACATTTACATATCAACCATCAAATGTGGCCATGTCATTGTATTTAATATCTATTTCTATATTGACATTGTTTGATTTTTCATTGATCACTCAGCTGTAAAACTGTCACTAAAATGTATACATTAAGTACATTTTCAGACATTGATTACAATATCAATGTGATATAAAATAATACCATTAAACTGTTGGTGTTTTAAAAATGTTCAAAATTTTAAAACTTTCCTTTAGCTTAAACCGTTAAAATGCATTGTTAGTAAAACACAAATTCTACACAAGAAATTAATTAAAATTAAATGTAGTGGTTTTCAGCTTTGATTCTTTGTCAGTAAAAATGAGTTTAAATATTTTATACTGACAGCAAATATTACATTCTAGCACATACAGGAACAGATATTAACCTTACGTTATCCTTTCAGTAGTTTACATATTTCCAAAAAGGAAGTGTATAATTGGAATTTACAGGATAAATTTTAAGGATATACGTCAATTTCCTGATACACTTACTACACTTTTTCTTATAATTCCATATTAAGGCTGGAATCCTTTAAAATGCCTTTTATCAACAATCATACAGACTTGGATTACTTAAAGAATGAACCTTGAAAGATACACAAGAATACATGTATTAATAACATACAAGTAATCTTAAATGATAATGCTAATTGAATATGTCAAGGGGAGGTAACTATGTGTATAATGTGTAAGGTAAGACACCTGTCCTAAAAAGAATCACCTGGTAATTCTGTATGAGTAAAATAAGACAATTTCCTTCATACTTTGAAAGAGTGAATATTTGAGAAATTACTAAAATCAGTATTAAAGGCTATAGGTTATAAAAATTGCTAACTTAACAATTGATGTTTTTAGCACAAAAAGTTGCATATGTGACAGTTAGACAGTACATAAGATCTGCTTTACATCATAAGTACTGTGAAGACAACACACATCACAATGGGGGATTGAAAAGCTTCTGCTGTCATTCCTGAGAGGAAACTTAAGACATGACCTCCATTATCATAAATGGTACATTTATAATTCAAGATTTTTTGTAAAAAAGAAAAAAAAAATGACACCATATATTCAATATATATTCTGGTTAACAAACTGTTGATGGACTCTTATTTCATCAAACTACCAATATTATTATCTATTTCATTCACTGATATGTGATTTTTTTTGAAAATTAGGTAACATTTTACAATTACAAACCAACTAAAAATTGTTTATAATCTATATTGAGGATAGATCTTACATACTGTTGCATGTGATGTGTCTATGAATAATGAGGACCAATCTGTTTATAGTTCACCACTTAAAGAAATAGTTTATCTCAAAATTAAATCTATTTCAAACATGATTTTTTTCCTTTAAAAATTTCAAGTCTGATGCATGTTGAAAAACTATGGAATGAAGTTGAAATAAATCAACTTATTATGAAAAAATGTATGAAAATAATGATTCTCCAATCAGCTTCTTCCATGCAAGCAAACACAACCCAACCAACCAATCAGCAGCTCTCATACTCCTCACAAGTCATGTGATTTGACCATGGGATGAAGATGGTGGATGCATCCGTGACAACCACTATTACAAAGTCTTTGCTTTCTCTACAAGGTCATCTATAAATTTCTGAAATGAAAATCAAGAAAATAGTAATCTGAGCTAGTTTGTTTTCCATTGTGAACAATTCTATGTTGTGGCAATCCTTATTTTCAATGGATTTGTATATAACTCAATTTTTGCATTTGTCAAAAAGGTAGTGGCAAAGATAAATACTTAAGAAAAAACTTTGAAACAATACTGAGTTAAAAAATCTGTGAATCAACCAAAAGCTACTTGTTGCTCCGGAGAGAAAACATTTTGATAAAAGTCAACAGAATTACACAAGAAAATAAAATTTATGGTACTTATAGAAACTGTTCACACTTTCCTACAATGCTTTTATCACTGCTTTGGAAAGTTTAAATCAAATTACGTTTTCAAATGTGTTTATATCAACTTACATTTAAAACTTCAGGTGCTTTCTTGGCTTCAACTAATTCTCTCTGTAAGTAGAAGACACACAATATTAACTTTCCCCTATAGGGTTAGGGTTAGTATACAACCTCAAAACGAAGAGAGTTCCTTAGTTTTCTGTCTCTATAGTAACATGGTGTAAAAATCCTCTATAGAACAGTGTGCAACCTCAAAGACCAGCAATGATTATCACTTATCTGCATTTATAGTAACATCGTGTACAACCCCTATTATACAAGTTTTATTTATCACATAATCTAGTGAATTCACACAATACTTTTGGATATATGTCACTTGTGTAATACTCTCTGAAGCATTTTTCATTGGTTGCACCAGTCAGAAATCAATTATGGACAACTTTAATATCATATGTTATGAATTAAAAATGACACAATAAAAACCCGTCAAATTGTTATTTTTCTGAGTTATGAAATTAAAGATATCTCAAATTAGCTTTTTAAATTTTAGGTGAGATTTTATACGTGTCTAGAAATTTTAATCATTTGTTGCCAAGGCTCACAAAAAACAAAAACTTTTCTACCAGGTACGTTTCCTAAAATCTCATGTGAAAACTCATCTTAGATCTAATGTATATCATCACAAGTCTAAATTGTCCACATATTATTCACAGGCAGGCTAATGTAAGAGAACTCCGGGTATGAAAACCATCTGTTCACATATCCTTAAATACACCTGCTTTTAGGAATATACATAATGCAGATCGTTGTGTATGTATTAACCAAGTTAATTTTTAATTTTCATGGGTGTAATCTTTGATACTACTGTATAACAAGAAAACACTATCAATCTTATCAAGTAACTGGGACACTAGGTTTAATATATATCAATGTTTTATGAATACATGTATTGCTGCTTTTTGGAGACTTAAGGTAATTTCCATGTAAGTATTAATAGTGGGCATCACATTATGACAGGAAAAACTGCACAGAATACTTCTGGTCTTTCAGGCAGCCTTTTTTAAAGATGAATACTTAAAATTGAGAAACATGTTTTCCAGATTGGTAAGTATATGTATGTATAGCTGTTCATTTATCACAATATGTTAGAAAATTTTTTGAGTGATATTTTGCTGAATACACTGTCACAGTAACTGTCAAAAACATTTAAATTGATTTTTTTATTTATAATACTCACACATATTTTCAATACAGAAGAAAACTTTTAGGTCAGAGGAAAGAAAATATTATATCATTTTGATTACCTAAGGTAATTGAAACATGTAAAATTTTGAAGAAAAAAATAACAACCTGACAAACAAAAAGACGATAAGAATTCTAATGATTAGTGGGTATAATAAAAATGTCTCCTTCCCTAGCCTGCAGTGGAATTATGTGTATAATACATTCTTACACAAACTTTTATTTGTTTTTGATGTACATCCTTACATAAATGTTGACAGAACTATACCTGTCAATACCTAAGGGACCGGTAACAGTTATAGGTTGGATACATATGTATACCTACAGTTTCTATTTGACATTCATGATTGTCAGAGGCCCCTCCAGGCTACCTGGCTAATTATAGCTATTCCATTGTGAGCATAAGTTGACCTAGTCTGCAACGAATGTGTTATGTTTACTTCTGTTTTTCCCATTACTGGAAACTCTAAGTGAAATTTTCATTACCATATGTGTTATTCTGGTAATTTTATTTAATTGAAAGGGATTTTGAGAATACAACACAGGGCGAAAATATTGGAAGATTGTTGGCAGTATGTTAGTTAAGGTATACATGTTTAATAAGGGAAAAGGGTGAAAGTTTTACAGAACAATAATATGGTGTACTGTAACTTAATAAACTGTTATTGAACCTGTCATAAGTCAGTCTGACAGTTTTGATACCTGATAAATGGTTTCATATCTATACAGGATTTTCTGACCTTGAGACTTTAGGAAGCAAACAATGGCAACTAAGACTGAAGGAGTTAGTTAGGTATTGCCATCATATTACAACCTCAAAGAACATCTCTTGGGTTGGATCTTGTGTAGAGTACCATTTACATAGAGGGGAAGGCAGGAAAAAGGTTGACCTAATACCATGGATCAAGGTCTCAAAGTGATACAAATGTTTGGAAAAGCGCACATTTAGGACTGAATCTCTGATATATTTGATTCTTAATTAATTAGCAATGTACTTGGTATATATAATCATATCAGATAGGTCTGACAGCTTTTGGTGCAGAAAGTACATAGAGCACATGACCTAGGAGGATACAAGCAACTGATGAAGCACTATAAGTTCACAGGGTTAGGTACAAAGTTTACCAAGGTAACCTAATTAGATCTGTTAATGTGGATCATGAACCTTAATATCCCCATAGTGTATACAGGATAGATACATGTTAAAGAGGTGCACTAGCTACCTCCAATACTGGGAGAGGTACATCTCACCGACAGAACCAGCTGTTACCTTAATTTCATGAATGATGTTTAAAATCTTTTCCCTTTGCATATATACAGATGATCGCCATGTAGGAATAACAGGGTTATATTCATACATCCTCTAGATATCTACTAAAAGTCATGCCTAAATTGTGAGAACTGGATCCACACTTAAGATATATCAGGAGTAGACTGGGTGGACTCCACATGATTTGTGTTAAAGCCAGTATAATCCTTCAATTTCTCAACATACCAGTTTTTGTTTACTCAGATAACATCTGCATTCTATGTGCACACCATAAGACAGAATACAACCCATTCCCAGACTGTATTTTGGCCCAGTAGTTTGGATTAACCAATAACACAGGTAAATACTTATGTAAAAACAAATAATTACAGGAAGCTGTTGTATTTATTAATACTCAGACATGCATTTCATACAAATAGGTTTTTCATGACTTTCATCTAAACATTTAGCAATTATTTATCTTGTAGTTCCAAATTTACATTTTAACAACATCTATAAAACTACAGTCTAATCAGAAATGTATATTCAGCAGAGTGAGTGGTATATAACCTGTGAAGTTAACTATACGTTACAATCATGTGATCCTAAATAACTATATATTATCATACTATGTATCTGTGTTTGTCCTTTGTGCTTTTCTTGTAATGTTGAACAGGGGTTTATCTGCTGGGAATGAAAAGTCATTGGAGTATGAAGACAGATGGGGCCAATGATAGAAGTCTTCATGGATCATTAGAATTCCAAGTCTTACATTTCAACACCACAACTACCTCACACACCCTGTAGCAAATGGCTGCAATCTGCCATGAGCCACCTGTCAACAACCAGGTATATCAAACCAGCAAAAAAACCAGAAAGAGATACTGAATATATATAATATTCTGATGTATTTGATTTCTGAATACATAATGCTATCTTATGCAACAAATATCTCTTCCTCATCATCTCAGAGTTGTATTCCAATCTCCCCTCATTTCACATGTAGACTTTGAGTTGAGCATCCATGGTGTGTTATATGTATAGATGATATCTATATTGTTTAAAAAAACTGTTAGAAATGATGTTGCTCTCATGATCCCCACACACAACAAATGCACTGAGAGATCCCCAGATATTCTTGATCAAACATGGCACAAAGGAGCATAGATTTAATGTACCAGTCTCCTTCACCCTGTGGTTAAATACAGTCCTAACTTGACCTAATTGTCAGCTATAAAAACATCACTCTCTAAAGCATATGGAACCTGCCCACTGTAATTTACTGCTACTGTTAATTGAAGCCTAACAGCCACCACAATATTCAAAAGTGACATCCACCACCGGTTCACTGAACCATAAATCCGTCAAGTACTGCCTGCATCTGACAGTCATTGAACCAACAAATTTCCCAGACTCTGAACTAGACAACATCCCAATCAATGAACCAAATTTTCGAAACTCTCTTCAACTTAACTTTCAATAAATCTGACAAACATAACATGCTGTCAATTCTTGAACAAACACAATCATTTTTCAAGTGATTCATTGTTAAATTTTCATGATAAAATTGAAACAGCAAAAAAAAAAAAAAATCTCACAAAATGCAATTGATAGATATGACCCAATAATTCAAAGTCATTTTAAGTGTAATAAAGCATAGGATTAGGCCATCAAATTGTATTTACAACCAGATCAACATGTGAAATGTTCCCCTGTATGTGACGGAAGCAATTTGTGATTTCAACATGCAGATTCCAGCAAAGTTTGTATTAAAAGTCAACAGAACTCCTGAGGCCATTGCTAAGACAAAACCTTGCAGTAGGCAAAGTCACATAAACACAGAAAAAGTTTAGCGTGGCCTTCAGAGGTCAATTATCAGTAATTAAGATTGTCTCAAATGCCTTATAGTAGAGAAATGCACTTAAATTTCTAATCACTGATTAAATTTCATAAATCCAACAGTTCACATGATCATGGCAACAGATGCGCTTTTTAGAGGATGAATATGATAAAAATACAACTGCACTGATGTGAATTTCCTGTTTTTAATTTTTTCAAAGGAGCTGCAGCTGTGTTGTGTATTGATTCTTGGCATTCAAGTACAGTAAATTATGTATCGATGTAATTCACCATCCTCTTTGTAGTTAGGAAACATCAACTGACTGGATACAGACAGACTTTAAATGACCTTCAATGTTGCACTGGTATCATTTACAAGTGCAGAAGAAAACCGAGACTTCCAATTCATAGGAAAAGAATACAGACCTAATGCTTCTAACTTCAGATTTAATGATGATAAATAAATAACTTTCAAGCAATGAATGAATTCCCAAACTTTGATTAAAGGGTGGTAAATTTATAACCGCCATCACAGCGGACACATTTAACTTAACACAAACTATGTTACACAGTACACTTGTCTCTGATCATTGCCCTTTTTAAATCACATTCTTCGATTTTCCCTGTGTCCCTGTGTCAAAGCAATCACCTTAATTAGCCCTTTCAGCCTATAACAGTATTCAACAATTATCTCAGTTCACATTTTAAAAACCCAACAAAATATTTACACAATAATACTGCCTTTCTTCAAAACTTTTATAAATATATTCTAAGACAAGTT